TATGATATTATTTATTACAATATTACTATTATATTATATTATATTATATTATCTTATTGTATTATTATATTATATTACGAGTATGAATTTTAGATTGAGAATATTGTAAATTTTAAATTTCATTAGGGGTATTATAAAAGTTTCATTAATTGTACTGTGTTGATTCCTGCATAATCTAAAAGCTAAAGTTGCCTTTGGACTGCTTCTGATTTTGGCTGTAGATTCTTCAAAAAGCACTTTTGAGGAGATTTAACAAACAATAAGGGCCTGTTCTTTTGACCCTAAAAACTCGAGTAAGGCCTACTCGAGTTTCACTTTCAGCCCAAAACTGTGTTCGGCCGTGTTGTAACTCGAGCATTAATTCGAGTCAGCTACCCAAACTCAAGTTCACCCTCCCCCCTTCAATTCGAGTGAAACTCGAATTAATATCCACAGTGTTTAACTCTCGCGTGCAGCAACGCCCTGCTTGTAGCTGTTGGTTGTCCTCTTCCTTCACTGAACTGAGATTCGAGCCTTCCCATTCCTTCTCTGCCATTTCACGTGATTCCCATCTGTAAAAGTTTCTTTTCTGAACCGTTGATTCCTACCTCGTCTCCTCCTTTTGACCATCGTGTAAGAGCCTTCTCTTGTTTGAAGTCCCGTCTCCTCTTTCAAGCTTTTAGGCGTTCCCATTTCTTCTCTGCCATTTCACGAGTTTCGTTGCAAAAGTTGTTTCCCCCAAATCTGAAACCCTAGCCCCAAAATCATCATCTCCTCCTTTAAGCTTTATCCGTTCCCATACCGAGAAGTAGCAAAAGTTTCCCCCAAATCAGAGATTATGAACCCTAACCCCAAAATCAACACTAATTTTGTAAGTTTTCAGTCCCCAGCCAAAACGGGGAAATTCACTATGAACCGTTCTATTCGGCGACCTCCTTGGGCATCCCTCCTAGGTTGATGTAGGAGGACTAGCTCTCGACCTAGTTCTCTTCAGCGGCGACGTCAAAGCTCCTTCCCCTAGCATTGTTATCGCCGGTACCGTAAACACGATAATTCCGGGCGTTTTGGGAATCTCAAAGCTGCTCAAAGTTGCTCTTCTGTAGGCTCAAACTCGGTAAGTACATAAATCCTTGCATTGATTTCCTCAGCGTGATATTCTATGGTTTGAATCTGCATCCATAAACTCAGGTGACTTTGGACATTGATTTTTGACTGTACATATGTGATATGCTATAAACGTGTTGGTTGCTATGGTTTGCTTTTGTTTAAGGGATGAATGTGTGGAGATGTGTTAAAATGGAAGGAAACCGAAGTTCTTTTCTTTACATCACTGAGGTTTAAAATCGTGGCCTTATCCTTTCTCCTCAACCGTAAATTGGAAACCAATGGGCCCCGTCTCAATTAACCATTGTTATATTGTGCAAAATGTGCAGTATACTACTTCTAAAAAAAAAGCAAGAGCCTCAAGTCATATATGATATATGTATTATTTTGTTGAACAATGGAGGCAATAGCAAAGAAATCAAGGGATTAGAATATTATATAAGTATATATGTTACTACGTGTATATATATATATATATATGTTTATCTCCTAGAAAAACACCATAATTAGAAAGAAACTTATAAAATTTAGCTAAGAGAATCATTGAGAATATATGCACATGATTAGGTCCTTGATATTAATTGTAAAAGCTATCAAGTTAAAATTGTTCCTGTAATATAGGCACATGATAAACATTAGTTTGAGAAACTATAGGATACAAGCTAAAATGTAAAGTACAATTAGATAATGATAAAGGTAATGCCTAAAAGCAGGTTGTGAATATCCTGCACTTGTGACAGGTTTGAAATGAATATGCCCTTGTAGTCATTAAAGTAGCACATATGATCAACCATGTAAGAACACAAGCCAACTAGGTTGCTAACATATAAGTAATGTCTTTCCTGTGTTAACACCAAACCATGAGTCTAAAAAGCCTATCTAATTCTAACCCGAGCCAAAAATAAGCTGTTGAGATGTGGATTTCCTTATTGTGAGTATACTTGGTAATGTTTTCTTGTTTTGCTTCTTTGTTTTAGGTGAACCCATTGCTAAGTGCAAGTTCATCTAAATTATACTTTGATGCACATACAAGCTATGGTTGTGATGCGTAATATGTGTCTAATGGCCTTGCTCCTTATGTCAAGTGATATTCGAAGGTGTGACAATTATTAGTTGCCGGTTTATAATGTCACTATTGGCATATTCGTACTATGGTAAGTTGAATAACGATCGGAGCTAGCTGCCGTAGTGTGCTTATAAACATTGGTAGCATAGTTGTCATTCCGTAGGATAATGCTCCATATGTGGGCGACGCGAGCTGTTACACATTCCTGAGCCTATTTGATTTCGTTTCCTTTCATTACATGATTTTTGCTTCAAATGTACATATGTATTATGACCGGATTGGATTTCACCACTAAATAGATGGCAATAAGGAAGGATAGATATGTTAATTAGAGCCCCGAAGTAGAGGTGGGGTTGCTTTGGCGGCTAGGTGACTTTAATTTAGCCCACTCGTCTGGTACCGTACCAAACCGAGACAAGTATGCTGAATGGGCAACCCAACTAAGTGAGCATTTTATCGTCCCCCTAACTTGGGACAAAGTAAAATAAAAAGCTAGTAGACTGAAGAAAACGTTTGATGCTGAGTTTCTACTT